AGATTTTTAGCCAACTCTAACGAATCGATTTATGTTCGTCTAAGTTGCTACATATTTTAAATCTATTGTGAGATTTGCGTCAAAACTTCGTGTAAACTCATCTAAAACACTTGTTTTTAGGGAATTACATAATAACAACAATATACAAAAAATTAATCTCCGAGAGACAATAATGCTCTTCAAATATTTCTTCACATGTAAAAAATTTTAGGATGTGTAGATTTTTTAGGATTATTCCTAAATTTTCTATAGCAACGTGACTAGTGTCATTTATCTTTTTTAGCGAGAGTACTCTTTCTTCAAAGTAAAATAGGCTTTTAAAGCTTCAGTGGTTTGCTATAAAAATGTCATGTTTTTTACGTGTCGAGAAAAATTTGGATAACGCTGGTTTATGGCGTACTTCGTCACCCGACAATTTTATTGTTCCCCAGTATGGCATGCAACACTTTTTATGGAATATGTATGTTTCCCCATTGATTTTTCTTCAACGCCAAAATTAGATGAAGTTATGGTAATAATAAAATATAAATTAATATCACTCGCATCGTGGCTTTTCGAATAATTAAATCGTGATGCAGAATAATTTATCTCAATTTGTTCAGAAATGTGTAATTAAACCAATAAAAGCATCACCTTTATTTCACACATCGCGGCTAAATAACTATAAATACTGTGATTTGTCTTCGAATTAATATCCGGATTTCCGCTGAAGAGATTTCCGATTAATTCATTATTATTTTGTACATTTCAGTTGGATTGAACTATTAACTCGTTGAAGAAATGTGATACACTGCAAAATAATTTTTTATTATTCTCATTCAATTTTGCCAGATAGCTAGACAGAAACATATGTCAAGATCGAATTACGAATTCCGGGTCGAGAATCGGAATCGAGAATCTTGAAATAACTACTTCATTAATCTAAATCCGGCAGACTGTCGCGCATCATCGTGTATGTTATTGCCAAAGTCAAAGCGTGTGAAAATTTATTTCTACATTCTATGTAACAAGTTGCTGAACACACAAACATATTCAGACACACGCGACTTAACGCAGAAAACATAGAATGTTTGCAGTTGCGGTAGATATAAATTTAATGCCTTTGTAATTTTGTTGAAACTCAATATTAAAAGAATAATGTTGAAATTTTTTTCAAAAATGCAACATAACTAATTTTCTTAAGCAAGACTATTAATTTACAAATATTATTAAAATATTTAATAAAAATATTTATAAAAATTAATATCCAATATATTTTAATAATATTTTAATAAATCAAATCATATATTGCTAAAAATTATCCAATCTGTTATGTAAATAAATTTTTTTATCTGTCAAGTATACAAACTTACGAATATGTCACTCAAAAAAGTTGGCAAAGAAAGTTAGAAAAAATTTCCAATATTTCCAATATAATTTTTATATATACAATAAAATAAAAATATGCATCTGTACATAAAATTATTATCCACATTTTCAATACCTAAATTACATATAATCATTAAATTTACACATTATAAAACAATTACAAACTGAGACAATTTCGTTAGATATTTATTTCATTATTTCGAATTTCAATACAATTCATACATACATTGCATACACGCGCGATGCAACTATTTAAAGACCGATGCCGCGTTCGAATTTACATTTGAACACATATACATCCCGGACCCGCACAAAAGCTTTTGTATTTTGTAAGGTCAATGTTTCTTCCAACTCTCCCACGCGATTCGATGAGACATCTCGAAATATCCGTCCTTTCCCATTGCGCTGCAATGTAATATCGAGTCCTTTTATCCAGGTTTATTTATCGAGTTTTATTCAATGCTTAATAACGCGTTTCTGTATATTTGTTACATGTTATAACTAAAAAATTTGTGATTGTTATAAATAAAAAATTTTCTGCATTCTCCGCATTCATTTTATGTGAATAGTAAAACAAATTTTATTTTAACTTTTTTTTTTCATATAAAAGGAACGTCCAAATATTAATAAAAAACATGATATATTACAATTCGCTTAAAAAAATTTTAACTCAATATAAAGAGCAAAAGAAAGACGGTTGGTATAGTGGCGTGTATTAGAAAAGTTTCGATCGCAACTAAACGGATCAAATGCATGTATAAATTGTCGTTAAAGTTGTAAAGGAAAATCGATTCCATTTTAATTATATTACGAGAGTTCGAAAATGAAATCTGTTACTCAGAATCCCCGCATACTCAGTTCATTGCGACGCGACGCAAGAATACGTCGTTAGCTGCATTTGACATTTATCTGCGTGACACACACACACACACACACACACACACACACACACACACACACACACACACACACACACACACACACACACACACACACACACACACACACACACACACACACACACACACACACACACACACACACACACACACACACT